TTTTATGTTTCGGGAGAATGCCACCCGATGTAGCCCAGGTTGACCTTGGCCTTTTGATACGGGCATGCACTCCACACCTGACTAAAAGGCTTATTCTTTAGTAAAGAAGGTGAGGGGCATGATGCAGACCACTGTAGTGTGCTATGTCAATTCAAAGAAATTTCAGATTTGAAAGACTTGGATGTCTATTACAATTTTTAGGCCTTGCAGGAATTGAGTCTGTTGATCCTTTATTATCCACATTTTAGGCTGAGTCAAATGATTCATAGGTCCCAGTGACAGGGGTAATGAGGTTTGCCCAGCACCTACTTCCCACAAAAGGATGCTAAAGCTCTTCCTTCCTTCCCTTACATACGTCTTGTTGTGGATGTCAACGGCACAGAGGCAACGAATCACTGATGAGAGCAAGGTCCAGATTCCAAAGGTTCGGGCTTGGAGGCCGTTCACTGTGTAGCAGAAAGAGCAACATGTTGAGAAGGGGAGGGCTGGAGCTCCTTCCCAGCTCCTTCTGTTTCACAGGTGGTTCATAGGAAGTAGCTGAGCCTGACCCCCCTACGGCTGGGCAGAATGGAGGCTCTGGTGTCAAACCTGGGGACGAGGAGGAATGGAAGGCAATTCCAGAGTGACATCAGATCTGTTTCAGATGCCTGCAGCCTGAAACCCAAGAACGCACCCACATAGGCAAAGAACTCCTGGAAGGAGCTTACACTGCCTGTTCCTGGAAACCCAGGGAGGGAGATCAGGACAGACTGTGCACATGGCAGTGGAACAAGGTACTATTTCTTTGGGCTTCTTGGGGCAAACTGAGTTGTTGGTGGCATCATTCTGACACTGCTATATTAAATATCTTGCTCTGAACAAATGGATCATATTCCCCCATAACAGTGGTACTGGACACTTACTACAATCAACTAAGGCAATTTTATAAAATTAACAATGTCTACATATTGGCTCAACTACACTATGCTCTCTGGAAGCGGTCCTCGCCTAAATATACTCTCTGTTGGGTGATTTAAATATGCAGCCGCTGACCTAAGGCATCTGGTGGCTCAGAAATACTAAAACTTCCCTGCTGGCTTGTCCTTTGCTGAGCAAGACAAATCTCACGAGACAAAACCGACACCTGAAAGATCTCTTAATGTTTATCTGGGCTTTAAGAATATTCTAGCCTCCGGAAAACCAGATAGCACTATCAAATTCACAATAAAGAAGACTTTTAGATAGTAGTGAGGAAAAAAAAAATTTCTAGGTGCCAACCAAATATCTGTATTAGCTCTTGAGGGCTGGATAGTTTTTGATGAAAAGGCCTAACAGCAAGTCCCAGGGCCTCAAATGTTTTATGGTACGTTTGCAGTACACAGTGATTGGATTCCACATGCACAACTGGTACTAGCACATAGCACATCTTTTTTTTTTTTTTTTTTTTTTTTGCGGAACCAGGGATTGAACTCAGGCCCTTGCGCTTGCCAGGGAAGCGCTTATTCCACTGAACCATCTCCCTAGCCCCCAGCACATCTTCATGTTTTGTTCTTGGGGTGCGGGGACAGGGTCTCACTTTGTAGTGCAGGCTGGCCTTGAACTCACTATGTAGCCTAGGCTGGCCAGGAATTTATGGCAATCCTCCTGCCTCTCCCTCTCCAGTGCTACGATTACAGGCTTATGCCATCAAAGCTCTTGGTCTGAATTTTAAATTCAAAGGGTCAGATCCAAGATGGGCTTCTATTAAGTTCTTAGTAAATTGCAATCTTGGTTAAAAAACAATCGGGACCAGATCAGATAATTTTTATTTATTTTTTAAATATTTATTTACTTATTTTGGCAGAACTGAGGATTGAACTCAGGCCTTTGTACTTGCCAGGCCAGAGCTTATTCTACTGAGCCATCTCCCCAGCGCCCAGATAATTTTTAAAATCCTATGTATGCATACAATGTTTTAGGACCACCTGAGGGCAGCACTTGATGGCATGGGGGGGGGTGGATTTTCCTGTTCACTTTTTCAGGTTCTTTATACCTGTTATAATTGAACTATGTTCAAAATAAATCTCAGGGGCTGGGGATACAGCTCAGAGGCATAAGAGTCTGCCTGGCAAGCACAAGGTCCTGAGTTCGATCCCCAGTACCACCAAAGAAAAAAAGCATGCCAATGGAGGCAACCCACTTGGGCCCCCCTCCTGTCCCTCTCTTGGACAGGAGCTTTCCTTCCCTCAATAAATATATTCTGCTCATAAAAAAAAAAAAGCCTCAGCCTATTTAATTTCATTTTATACCCAGATGTTACAGAAAAAGCTAGGTCAGATTCCGAATCTGGGTTAGCTATAAATGTGACAGAGAACTGTCAGCCGCTATGAAACAGCGCTACAGCTCAAAGCGTCCCCCAAAACATGATGAAGTGCACGCCTCAGTGTAAATAGACCCAGCAGAGAGGTCAGAAATGCAGGAAAGGCTGTTGTGAGCATTCAGAAGGTTCACTCTGGGAGACCGACTTGGAGGGATTTGGGGTATCTGCTCAGGGACACCATCATGGCTGGTGAGGACTGAGATTAGTAACTCTCCACTTGTAACATGGACATAAACCATGCATGCCATGACCTGATTTCTGAAGAGGGCTTAGTGATACTATGAAAAGTTACTTTATAGCTTTTTTCTAGTCAAGTACCCCAGAGTCACTGAATGAGGGCTCCCTTGCCTTAAACCACCTTTTGTATATACTAACTACCCAGGGCAGTGTAAAATGAATGAACAAGTATCCAGAGAAGCTTGGAAAAAAAGGGTTAAGTGTTCTCCACAAAACCGGTGGCTAAAAGAGGTTAGATGAGCCTTGGAATCGCCTGGCGGTTTTAAAAACTAGGTTTGTGGTCCCGCCTACCACCTTAAATAATTAGATTGAGAAAGGGAAACAGGTAGCTTGTACCTTGCCCTTTGTTTGCTTTTCAGTTTTCTGGATGGTTCTGTCTTGAGAACCACAGTAAGGTCGCTCCTAAATAGCATGTGGTTCTTTGGCTTCTTACCAAGGTTGGGTTTGCCTGTGTAGAGCTTTTCATAGAGGAAGGAGTGGTCTCGGAAGCTCTGGAGTGTGTTCCCCATGGCTATGATGGACACCATGACCAGCCAGCTTCGCAACACATTCAGGAAACGGCTCATGATGACCCCGACTGAGAGGGTGTTTGCCTTGAAAACAAAGGTAGAGAACACATGATATGCAAATAGTACCCTGTCACCAGGAGTTCGCTCACTAGCCTGTGGTCAACCTGTGTCCCACTTATGAAGGCTTTATTAAGTTTATTAGCCAATAATTTTATTAATTCCTCACCAAGTTCTTTAGACTTTTCTTGACACACTACTCTTGTTCCTTTTTTGAGACAGGATCTTGCTAACATGGGCAAGCTCACCTCAAATTTGCAGTTCTCATACCTTAGGGTCCCAAATAACCTAGTTTAACACACCTTCCTCAAACACCTGTCCCTTGTTTCACAGGGTTACTTGCTGCCTGGGAATATTTACCCTATACCAAAGTGTGACAAGGGCTAAACGATAAAAGGGGTACAAATGACAAATCTTGTGAGGGAAAAAATGTAGAGAAGGGATCAGAAGAAATGGAATCATACAAATATTACTATCAAGTAGTAGAATGGAATTGTGTGTAAGGCTTATTATGGAAATTGGTCTCAACATTTAGTCACACTAATAGCGGTGAACATTATACGCTGTAGTATGTGAGATAATACTTATCTTTGTCCAACTAATTTCTCCAAAATATAGTATTACTCTAAATGAGAACTCTTTTTCTTGTGTGGAATCAGTACTCGAGGATCTTTGCCTTTTTGGAAGTGACTGAGAGGTCCCCCTTTCCCTCCCTCCCTTTCTTCCTTCTTTCCTTCCTTTCTGCCTCCCTCCCTCCTTCCTCTTCTTTTCTATCTAAAGTACCAGGGATCAAACCCAGGGTCTTCACACTGGGAAATATCTGGGTTTTTTTTTTTTTTTTTTTTAAATAAAATTTCATTAAGTTGTCCAGCTTGGTCTTGAGTTTGTAATCTGTATGCCTCAGCCTTCCAGGGTGCTGGGATTACAGGTTAATGCCACCACACCCAACTTCAAAAATGACTATAAATCTACTCACGGATACTTGCTTTGGTGACAGACCATTCCAATGCTATAGAAACCTTATATATTTGTAAAACCTACAGTGTGATGCACCATTTATATCTCTATTCTTCAGATACATCATACTTCATGAACTAGAAACTCTAAAAGTAAAAATAAACTGCTGTGACCTTAGACCTAGTAAGATTAAATGGAGAAAGCAACAATCTTGGTATGGGTTGTAACACCAAGAAAATAACAATAAGTATTAGTTATTGCACATTTCTGCTACTCACTAGGCCAAGCACATGACATACTACTATCTCATTTAACCCTTACGAGGTAGATACTATTAGTATTTATTTTATAAGGGAGAGTTGGACAGAGAGGCTAAGTGATGGAGTTGTTCAGCTAATAAATGACAAAGTTAAGAGAACCATCAGGGCTGGTGAGATACCTCAGCAGACTAAGCACCTGCTTAGGCAAGCGCAAGGACCGAGATTCATTCCCTGACACCACATGCCCTGCCCTGCTGGCCCCACCCACAGATGTGCTGAGCCTGCCACATAGATCAGATGTGGTGGCACAAGCCTGTAATCCAAGCACTGAGGAGACTGAAAACAGGAGGATCACTATGAGTCTGAGCTGCCTAGTAAGACCCTGTACCAAATATACTAAACAAACAAAAAAAGAACCATCCTCTGTTGGACTCCATATTGCAGTAGTACCTCACTGAAAATGTTTTGATGAAGTTCCTATTTTTGAGGAAGACAAACATATCATTACCATTCTATTTTTAAATTGTATGAAAAATGAGGTCAATTTTTTAAAAATTTAGATCAACCCTTGCTGAGTAATGATTTCAGTAAGCTTGATTTAAATGCATTCTATTTAGATAAAGAATCTAATACAAGAATAAGCTTCTCTCTCCACCACGACCAGTACGCCCACAGTGTATTCTCTGTTGTACAATTAACTTACTGGGCCAAAGTTTTCTCTGGCACTGTGGCAAGAGGTTTCCATACGGACCCATACCACCCGGCTGAGATAGGTAGGTTTAAGATAAGCAATGGCCCAAAACAATTTGAAGCATCAAAAAACCAACTGAAAAGAGCTCTAGGAGAGTCAGGCTGAACCGGTGAACCCTCAGGTAAGCATAGATCAGGAGGGTGGCCTCTGTTGAAGTCAAAAGGATCCATTAGCCATCGCAGTCATTGTCTGGGTCATGATCCATCTCACTAGGAGAGTCTGGTTTCCTAGGTCAGAAAAGACTCACGGATGCCCCAGACTAGGGTAGAAAAGACTCACCCACCACCTCACTTCCCAGAACTTACAAATCCTAGCAGGCAACCTGAGCCTTTCTGAATTGCCTTCTTCAGTTCCTCAACCCAATTATTCTGGCTCTACTATTCTGTAGCTATGTGACCATGGGCAAATAATTTACCTTTTGCAGCCTAATCTGCAAAATGGGAGGACACATAATCTCAAGATCATAGGAACTGCATGAGAAAAAGTGAAGGCCTGCTGCACAGCGCTAGGCTCAGTGTGTGCTCAGTCGTTCATCCTTCCTTTCGTTTCCCAAATTTCCTAAGTCCTCTCCATCTTCCTACTGTAGCTTGTCCTGGACTCTCGAACTCCTCTTCCCAAAAGGTAGCCTCCCAGATAACCCCCATCTTTCCAGACTCTCGCAATCAGATAAGACACAGACACCTACATACTTCTCCAAATCCTACCTGGCGAGCTGAGCCCCAGCACCACAGCAGCGGCAAACAAGCTGCCCTAGCACAGCTTCGGCCCCGGGTCCACCTGAGCCATTTGTCTCCGCCCCCGCCCTCAGCGCCGCTCCAGGATTGGTCCGTTCCCGGAAGCCCGCTCTCTGATTGGATGTGCTGGTTTTGCTCGAGCAGGAGATGGGGAGTGAACCCCTTTGCTGCCAATCAGCGGTTGCCGCTGCCTAAACCTTTCCCTGTTAGGACGCCCACGTACTACACCCTCTTTTAGAGCAGGGCGGAACTCTTGGTTTGGAGTCAACCTTTTAGGGACTGAGAAAAAAAGCGGGTAAAAGAAGCTAGCACTGCTTTCTGCCTTAGGCAGCGCTTTGCGCCCGCGCCGCGCCTCGATGACGACATCTGTCCGCGCCCGCGGCCCTAAGTGGTCGGCGCCCGGCGTTTTGCGCCTGCGCGATAGCTACGAGCGGGCGGTTGCTTGTTGGTTGTTGTAGTAACGGGGAAGCAGCAGTCGGCGGCTGCTGTGAGCCTGGCTGGGGAAGGAGGAGCGTGGTAGGCGCAGAGCCGGGTCCCCGCCTGCCCGCCCCGAGCCATGGGAGGATGAGACAGGTAAATCCTTGCGTCCGCGTGCCGCCCCAGCGGAGGAGGGTTCGCTCCTGGTTCTAGGCGGGCGCCCTGCACTTCCCTCCAAGACCCTGGAGCAGCAGTTAGCTAGCTTCCGGGCGCGCCGGGCTGAGTCGCTGCGGCGGAGTCGCCGAACCCTTCCTGAGGGGAGCCTCTGCAGACCTAGCTCAGATTGGGGCGAGCTGGGCGTGCTGCTGTGGTGGTGTCCTGGTAGGGCTGGAGCTCCCGTTAGGCGAGTCCTTAATCTTCCGAGAGCCTGGTCTCTCCTCCCTGTGGGGAGCCTCGGGAAGGCTGGCGTCCCATCTTCGCTTGCAGGTTTTGTTGCTAAGTTAAAGGACTTAGCTTTAACTCATTTTGGGAGGATCAGAAATCCCTTTGGGAGTCCCCGGAAGACATTCATTGAAGTTACTTGACTTTGTCTATATTTCCGCTGAAGATCTGTAGGGACCTTTATCAGGATCGGTGTTTTTTGTCTTATTTACAATAATAATGTAAATACGAGTTCATAGAACAATATCGTTGGAAAGGCAGAGGTGAATGCAATTATGATCATTTAAACGTTTTCGTTACAGTGTATGTAGTTTTATTTCTCCTAAAACAATGAACATGTATTTTTTGCTGTGGAAAAATACTTTGTTAAAATGCTATGTTGAGGGGGCGGAGATATAGCTCAGGGGCGTAGAGTTTGAATAAGTATTTGCAAAGGTGTAGAAGCTTGAGTTTTAATTTTAATTTTTTATATATATTTTATTCATTTTAATGAGAAAAGACAAAATAGCAAGGAAACAGTTTCAAAACAGGTTAGTAGTACAGTTACTATACTTATTACGTTGCATATTGTTGTTTTCGTAGTAGTTTTTCAGAGGAAAAGATGTAGCAATGATACCATGTCTGAACAGTATTGGGGGGGCAGGGAGATGGCTCAGTGGAATAAGCGCTTTCCTGGTAAGCATAAGGGCCTGAGTTCAATCCCCAGTTCTGCCAAAAGAAAAACAAAACAAAACACAACAATAAAATAAACAATATTAGTACAGACCTCATTGAACTAAGAGAAAGTAGCTGTATATTAATTTTTATTTTTAACACCAGTTAGATTTGTCTAGCAAAGAATTTATGTTTTAGGGAATCAGCTCCCCCAACTCAGGCTGCCCTATAAGTAGAGTTGACCCTTTTAGTTAATGGAAGATCTAGTGTACAAAAGACACATGAGAAACTCAAACTTAGAAACAGCTCTTATATACACAGACAGTATGTTTGAAAAAAATCTTGATTTTCATGTCCTATGTGAGGCACTGAGAGCTTCTGGAGATTGGGCACTATTTAGGAGTATGTACACTCGTTATTTGGAAGGTCATCAGCAGAAAACGAGGACTAGAGAGCTACCTGTGTTTCAGGTCACTTGAATTTCTTGTAGGAATCTGTGCCACCCAGATTGTCTGATCCAGTGAATCTGCAAGGAGAGGTCTCTGAGGCCCCTGTTTGCTGACTATATGACAGACCCGGAAGGAAATGCCAGTCGTGATGGCCCGGGACCTGGAGGAAACTGCATCATCCTCAGAAGAGGAGGAGGTGGTAAGCCAAGAGTGAGTACCGCATGCCTGCTTTTGGTTCCTTTGTTGTTAGGATGAAAAATAACAGTTGTCTTTTTTTTTTTTTTTTTCCTTTTAAGAGAAAAAAACTAAAACAAACCAAAAACATTTTTTACTTAACAATAAAAAGGTTGTATGGTTTTAAAAAAAAAAACAACATTTTTTACCCTATATCTTTCCTTTGATCTTGTCTGATTCTGGTTTCAGTTTCTATCTGATTTCATTCAAAATCTTATTCCTGAATTCTATCAGCTATCACACTGAGCTGAGGCTCTGTTTCTGGACTTAGGAGTGAACAGCATGCCTACTTGTAAAATGCAGGTAGGAGGTCTTGGTGATCTCCTGGTCGGAATGTCCACTGTAGAAGATTTTGACATTTTTATATATTGGGAAAAGGAGCTCTCCAAACTCTGTGATGTTGGTTTATATTACGCTAGTTTTCTTAACAACCTTTACAGAGATAGGATGTTGGTAATATGAAGAAGTCATGTTACCATAGCAGCTGAGAGGAGGATGTTAGAGTTCCACAGCCTGTGCTGTGTACCCTGGACCACGCTCAGTTGCTTTCTTGAGTTCTATTAGGTTGAGGGTCAGTTTTTTGGATTGTTTGACCTTCATAATAAAATGAATGATACTGGTTAGTGCAGCTGTTATAGACTATAGTAAGGGCTCTGGGCATTATTTAATTGAAAGATTAAACTATTGTATCATATTTAATTTGAAGATGTTACTGTTTCCACTTCACTCAGTTCATTCTTAGAAGTATCAAGATGGGTGTGGTGGTACATGGCTCTAATCCCAGCACTGACATGGCTGAGACAGGAGGATCACTACAAGTTTGAGGCCAGCCTGAGCTACTCAGTGAGAAGACCTTGTCTTCAAAGAAAAAGAGGATATATCAAGAAACTTCCTCAGAGACCCTCAAAGAGAGTGATGGGTTGAGCTTCAGACTTAGATTTCTTGTAGGAATCTGTGCCACCCAAATTGACTGATCCAGTGAGTCTGCAAGGAGAGGTCTCTGAGGCCTCTCAGAGATTTTGAAGGACTTTGCTATTTTGCTTATTTAAAATATATTTGACACAAAATAGAGAATTTGGCTTAAAGTTAATTCAAAAGTACCTGTGATCCTTTTAGATATGGACATGGTATATA